TTGGATCGGCGCAGCGCCAGCCATAGCAACCATTTGGGGAGTGAACCAACGGAAGAAAGACCTTTCTGTCTCTCTCTCTCTCACTGTCTGTAACTCTGTCAAATAAAAAAATATTTAAAAAAGAAAAAATAATAAAAAATGGTGGAATGGCAGTGGAAACAGCGTATCAGAACCTGTGGGACCCAGCCAAAGCTGAGGAAAATTTCGCACCACTAAGTGCATACATTAGAGAGGAAGAGTGTCAAGTCAACAGTCCCAGCTCCTGGGCCGAAGTCTGCGTCGCATATCAGTGCTGGGAATCCAGGCCTCCTCCCAATGTACCTGGGAGGCTGTGGGTAATGGCCCAAGTACTTGGGTTTCTGTCACCCATGTGCCAGACCTGGACAGAGTTCCTGGCACTCAGCCTCAGCCTGGCTCAGCCCCAGCTGCTGGGGGCATCAGGGAAGCAAACCAGCAGAGAGAAGACTCTGTTTCTGTTTCTCCCTCTCTATCACTTTGCCTTTCAAATAACTACATCAATTTTTTTAAAAAATTTGATCCATAAAATCATCATCATCATCTAAACTCCCTTCAAAGAACCTAAAAGAAGAAAATAAATCCAAAGCAAGCAAAGAAAAAAAAATAATGAAGGAAACAGTTCCAAAGAAAGGAAACAAAAATAAAATCAGCTATCAGGCATAGTGAAAATAGAAAAATGGAGAAAAATCAATAAAATAAAAAGCCAGTTCTTCGAAAAGATCAATGTAATTGATAAACTGCTTGCAAGACTGGCTGTGAGAAAGGCAGAAGACACAAATTATCAATATCGGGATTCAAGTGGATATAGCTATAGATCCTGAAGACATCAAGGGACAATAAAGAAACACTATGGCTCATTCACATAATTCCGCCATCTTTGAAGGAATGGATCAATTCCTCAAAAACCACAAACTACTGCAACTCAGTATGAAATAGTATGAGCAGCTTGGTAACTATTAAGGAAATTTGAATTTGTAATTTTAAAACTCAAAAAAAAAAAAAAAGCAAGCCCAGATGGTTTTGTTGAAGAATCTTACCAAACATCTACAGAGTTAACATAAATGTTTAAAAAAAAAATTTACTTATTTGAAAGGCAAAGTGACAGAGAGGAGGAGAGACGAGAGGGAGAGCGAGCGAGAGCAAGAAACATTCCCCATCCACTGGTTCATCCCCGAAATGGCTGCAATAGCCAAGACCAGGCAAGGCTGAAGCTGGGGGCCAGGAACTCCATCCAAATGGCCAAATGCCTGTGCCACCTTCCACTGCCTTCCCAAGTGCAGGAGCAGGAAGCGGAAGGAAAGTAGAGCAGCCAGGACTTGTACCGGCACTCAGACATGGGATACCAGCATCACAACACTGGTCCTAAGTGACACCAATGTCACACAATCTCTCAGAAAACAGAAGAGGAGGGCAGACATTGCTTACCATCTTATGAAGCTAGTATTACTCCTAAAAGCCTGCAGGCCATTTACCCCCAACATCAGCAACAAGGAGGTCCGTGTTCCCCAGTGTTACTGCACACGGTGCCAGGATGCAGCCAGTCTAGTCAGGCTGGGAAGAAAAGGCATACAGACTGGAAAGAAAGAAAACTGCCCCTGCTGCACATGACATGATCGTCTACACAGAAAATCTCAAGGAAACTCAGGTCTCAGAATAAATGAATAATGTAACAGGATATCAAATAAACATACAAAAATCAATATTGTGCTATTATTGAATGCAAGTAATAATATTAAAAAACAGTATCTATAGTTGCTCAAAATATTAAATACTTATATGTAAATCTAGCAAAACATATGAAGAACTTGGATGCTAAAAAGCTGGAAGACTCAAGATAATAGAGGTATCAATTCTCCCTAAATTGATCTACAAATGTAATGTAATTCCTATCAAAACTTCTAAAAGATTCATTAAATGCAGACAAAATGATTCTAAGATTCATAAGGAAAGGCAGAAATCTAGAACACCTAACAAATTTTGAAGAAAGAATTCAGTAGGGGGAATCAATCTAGCCTCTTTCAAGACTGACTACGCAGGCCAGCACTGTGGTGTAGCAGGTAAAGCCATTGCCTGCGTGCCGGCGTCCCATATGGGTGGCAGTTTGAGGCCTGGCTGCTCCACTGCTGATCCAGCTTCTGCCAATGCACCTGGCCCAGTCCTTGGGCCCCCGTGCTTGCGTGGGAGACTCTCAACAAGCGCCTGGCTTTGGCCTGGCCCAGCTGTGGACACTGCAGCCGTCTGGGGAGTGAACCAGCGATGGAAGCTCAATTTCCATCTCTGTAACTCTGCCTTTCAAATAAATAAATCTTTAAAAAAAAAAAAAGAATACAGGATTGTTCTAAACCCCTACATTTGTGCTAATTTGCTATGGCAGCCACAGAAAGGAATCTATAAGCTAAGGGTTTAAGAAACTACTATTTTTCCTAAAAGGGGCCAGCTGCTCCATTTCAGATCCAGTTCTCTGCTATGGCCTGGGAAAGCAGCCGAAGATGGCCCAAGTGCTTGGGCCCCTGCACCTGTGTGGGAGACCCAGAAGACGCTCCTGGCTCCTGAATGACCCAGTTCCAGCCATTGCAGCCATTTGGGAAGTGAACCAGCAGGCAGAAGATACCTCTCCACCTCTCTCTCTCCCTCTCTTTCTCTCTCTCTCTCTGCCTCTCTGTAACTCTGCCTTTCAAATAAATAAATAAATAAATCTTAAAAAAAAAAAAAAAGACTAGGCCGGCGCCGCGGCTCACTAGGCTAATCCTCCGCCTAGCGGCGCCGGCACACCGGCTTCTAGTCCCGGTTGGGGCGCCGGATTCTGTCCTGGTTGCCCCTCTTCCAGGCCAGCTCTCTGCTGTGGCCAGGGAGTGCAGTGGAGGATGGCCCAGGTACTTGGGCCCTGCACCCCATGGGAGACCAGGAAAAGCACCTGGCTCCTGGCTCCTGCCATCGATCAGCGCGGTGCGCAGTGCGCCAGCCGCGGCGGCCATTGGAGGGTGAACCAACGGCAAAAGAAGACCTTTCTCTCTGTCTCTCTCTGTCCACTCTGCCTGTCCAAAAAAAAAAAAAGACTGAGTATAGCTATAGGACACAAGACTGCATACAATACAGAACCTAGTGATCTACCCACATAAATAGGCTCAAATGACTTTTGACAAAAGTGCAATGGATCTGGGAAAAACAGCATGGGCTAAAAAACAGCCCTTGACCTAAAATTTTCATCTTAAAGAGAAAGCAACTCCAAATGGATCACAGGCTTAAATGCAAAACATAATCTGTAAAACTTTTAGGGAAAAAAAATAACATCTTTGGGATCTAGGGTTGGGCAAAGAAGCCTTAAACTTTATACCAAATGCACAACCTGTAAAAGAGAAAAAAAATGATAAAATGAACTTGAAAATTTAAAACTTTCACCTTGCACAAGACTGTGTTGGGGCTGCAAAGACAAACTGTACATTGAGAGAAAACACTTGTAAAAAAACCATTTGTCAGAAAAAGTATCCAAGTAGGATACATAAAAAACTACATAGGAAGCATTCAAACAATCCAGTTAGAGAATGTTTTTGCTTACTGGCAAAATAGCGAAGAGACATCTCATGCAAGAGAACACTCAAATGGCACAAGAAAAGATACCACAGAATACTACTCAGTCCACTACTGATACCTGCAGCAGCCTGGATGAATCTCCTGTAACTGCCTCGAAATAACAAAACTGTAGAAATGCCAAGTAATTGCTGACGGGGAGGGCTTCTTGGGAAGGGATGAGATGAATGTGGCTACAGCGGGATCCTAGGGAGACAGAAACATCCTCTCTCCTCACTGCACCTCTGTCAACACCCTGGGTGAAGAGCACAGAGGATCTCCCCTACTGTCTCCTACAACTACCTGTGAAACCTACAGATCTCTCGAGAAACAGTTTACTCAGAATACAAAGCAAACTAAGACCAGGCTTTTTATTAAAAAAAAAAAAAAAAATCCAACATCAAAATCCCCACCCAGAGCCTATCAGCAAGCAGACAGCACCCCGCTCAGCCGCGAGCTGACTGTCCTAGGTCTGAACTGCTCCTGGAGGAGCTGCTGCAGCCAGGCCTGCGATCTGCTCCGGGTTTACACTGAGTACAACCACCGATTAAAGGAAACATTTGCAAAGACAGGGATGCACAGAGACACATTCCATCAGCCTCACCACAGCGGGGTCCCTGATCACCACAAACTCGACCCTTCGCTCCCCACGGAATCAACACGCACAGGAAATCCGAAGATGGGGGGCCGGTGCTGGGCCTTAGTGGGTTAAACCACCACCCGCTACAAGCGCATCGCATATGGGCGCACGTTCGAGTCCCAGCCGCTCCACTTCCTATCCAGCTCCCTGCCAACGGCCCAAGTGCTTTGGTCCGTGCACCCTCCGTGGGAGAAATCTGGAAAAAAGCCCGCGGCTTCCGCTGGACCTTTGAGGCCATTTGGGGAAGTCCACGGATCTGCCTCTCTTTGCAACTCCGCCTTTCAAATAAATAGCTCTTTTAAAAAGTTAAACAAGAAAAAAAAAAAAGCTGTGGCCACACTTTGAGGCTATCAAACAAGATAAACAGCCAAGAGTGACCGACCCGAAAGGTAGAAAACCCTGGACAACGTACACTCGGGACGCCGACGCGTGGGAGGGCGGGCTCCGATCCCAACGGAGGCCGCCGCCCGGACGGCCGCGCCGCCGGGAAGAGCCGGGGGAAGCCAGACCTCAGCCCGCCGGCAGTGGACGCGCGCAACTGCCAGATTCGGGAACTGCTCGGGTCTCTCCTAACTGTTACCCGGTGAGGTAGCCGCACGCCCCTTCCCAGCGATCGCTAGGGTCTGCCTCCCGGGCAGGACCGGGTCCGGCCGGCCGCGGACGCCGGGGGTCGGGCGGGGACTCGGGAGCGCGGGTCCCGCCGGACGGACGCGGACGGGGGTCCAGGAGGCTCCGAGGCGCCGCGCGCTCGGGGGCCGCGGCGGGCGGGACTCACCTGATGCCGCGCCACCTCGGAGGAGGCCATGGTGCCGGCGGCGGCGCACGGAGCGGGGCAGACGGCGGCCGCGGTGCAGCCCCAGAACCCGCGTCCAGGACGGAGGCGGCGGCGGGCGGCCGGGCGGGGCGCGGCGGGCGGGGCGCGGGGCGGGGCGGGTAACGGGCGGGCGGCCTCCGCGGGGCAGGGCGTGGCCAAGCGCTGGGGTAGCGGGCGCCATTGGGCGCGCGCGGAGCCCGAACGGCTCGGGAGCGCCCATGGAACTTTGTTAGAGGACTTGGGAGAGTCGGGACTGGGGGCAGGCAGGGGTGGTCGCGACGGGAGGACGCTCGGAGCGTGAGGAAGACGTTAGGTGTAAAGGCGGGAACGTGCTTGCGGACCGGAAGTGGGCGTGGCCGCCTGCCGGTGGGCGCTGTGATTGCAGCCCGCGCGGGGAGCGGAAGTGGGCGTGGCGAGGGGCGTGGCGGAGAGGGGGCGTGGCCCAGTGAGGCGGTGGCGGTGTCCTGTGGTGGCCAGATCCGGAGCGGAGAGCCCGCGGAGCCCGCCAGACTCCGTGGCCCTGGATGGTCCCGCGATGCGGCCGGGCTGAGCCGCCGCCACAGAGGAGAGCACGGCCGCGGATGGAGGGGCGGGTGTCGCCGAGCCCCGAGGCGGAGCCGGGCCCTGAGGAGGTGCTGCGTTTCCTCGCGGAGCGCGGGGGCCGGGCCCGGCATGCGGAGCTGGTGCAGCACTTCAGGGGCGCCCTGGGCGGCGAGCCAGAGCGACGCGCCCGCGCCCGCGCCCGCTTCAAGGAGTTGGTCAATGCGCTGGCGACGGTGCGCACCGATCCCGTGGATGGCACCAAGTACGTGCACCTCAAGAGGAAGCTGTGCGCTGGGGCCGCGTCCCTCGGCGGCCAGCCCCACGTTGAGGAGACCGCCGCGCCCTCTGGGGACCCCTCCGGCTTCCAGGTGGCCGCCGCGCCCCGCGTCGAAGTGACCGCCGCGCCGGAGGTCCCCAGCAGCCCGGCCGAGCCGGAGAGCGGCGAGCTCCCCGGGGCCGCATCCCTGGAAGACCCGCCCGGCGTCCAGGCGTCCGAGGCGTCCTCCGGACAGGGCCTTGACCCCGGCCGTGGGGCGTCCCTGGCCGTCGCCCACGGGCCTGCCCAGAGCGGCGGGGCCCGGAGGAAGATCTCGCGGCGGGACGTCCAGCCGCTGTCCCGGGCGTCGGCCTCGGGGCCCAGCGAGGACCTGGAGCGCCCACTCAGCCAGAGCGAGGAGGTGGACGTGCGCGGCTCCCCTGGAGGACCCCACACCCCGCGGCCTGCCCGCCAGAGCGTCCGGGACCACGTGGCGGGCAGCTCCCCGCAGCTGAAGAGGGGCGTGTGCCCCGGGAGCGGCAGCCCCGGGGGCTCCTCGGGGACCGGGCGCAGCAGGAGCGGGGCCGACTCGGACAGCGCCTCGGTGGCCTCGTCGTCCGCGGAGGAGGAGGGCGGCGGCGGCGGCGGGGGCTCGGTGACCCTGGACCCGCTGGAGCACGCCTGGATGCTCTCAGCCTCGGACGGCAAGTGGGACAGCCTGGAAGGGCTGCTGGCCTGCGAACCTGGCCTGCTCGCCAAGCGGGACTTCATCACTGGGTTCACTTGCCTGCACTGGGCCGCCAAGCACGGTCGGCAGGAGCTGCTGGCCATGCTGGTCAACTTTGCCAACAAGCACCAGCTGCCGGTGAACATCAACGCCAGGAGCAGCGGAGGCTACACCGCCCTGCACCTGGCCGCCATGCACGGGCACGTGGAGGTGGTCAAGCTGCTGGTGGGGGCCTATGACGCGGACGTGGACATCAGGGACTACAGCGGCAGGAAGGCGTCGCAGTACCTCAGTCAGAGTACCGCCGAGGAGATCCGGAGCCTGGTGGGAGCCCTGGACGACTTGGACGCCGAGAGCGCGGGCAGCGGCGGGGGTGGGCGGTGGAGGCTGTCCAAGGTGCTCCCGTCGCACCTCATCACCTACAGGCTCTCGCACGTCCTGGAGGATGGGGGCGACCACCACCACCACCATCACCACCTGACTGAGGGCTGGGCTGGAGGCAAAGCGAAGGATCCGGGTCGCAAAGCCTCCAGTGCGCGGATAAAACCCAGGCTCAACAAAATCCGCTTCCGAACCCAGATCATCCACACCACGCCGTCTTTCAGGGACCCAGAGCAGCCGCTGGAGGAAGGCGAGGAGGAGGAGGAACGGCCTCTGAAGGGTCACTCTTCCTCCTTCAAGTTGAGACCGAAGTCCAATGTATTTGGGTAAAAATCATTGCTTTCAGGAAGGCTGAGGTGTGTTTGTCTTACAAAGAGTGGAATACTGTGTGTGGATAAGGAATGAGGCAGGAGGTCCTGAGGCTGGAATGGTGCATTCTCCAGGGACTGGAGTTCCCTTGGGGCCCGACTCGGAGAAGTGGAGTCACCGCTGGGACCCGTGCCTGTTCCCCACCCCTTCCCCCAGGAGTCCCTGTTTCTGAGGACCTGATGTATTTGAATTAGGGCGACAGCTGATAACTGAGGGTCCCTTTGCTTTAACCGTTCCTGGATGCCATGCAGAGTAAGGACTATTGCACTTCTTCTATGTATTTTTTTTTACAGTGGTTACTCTTTCAAAAGCAACAAAAACAACAAAAAATGGGAATTGTAATGAAACAGGTAGTGTTTGTAAGTGTGAACTACTTGTGGCCCTGTTTTTTTCACTGATTGCATTTGGTCTGTAAGGTACTACTGAGGGTCAGGTCAGAGCTGAACTGCAAGAATACTAGAGAATAGTGTGATGAAGCATAGGAGTTCTGTCAGTATCCTGCTTGTATTATGAGTAGCAGGTCAGGGACTTTTAACAAGCAGCTTCCGTTTTAATCACTGACCTAAAAGAAGCAGGCAACAGTTCACTCTAGAGTTAATCTGTAATGTGGTTTCCAACCCTCTGACATCACCACACTCAGTATTAAGGCACGTTATTAATGATTACACACATTTCTACTTTAGAAGTGTACTTAGCAGCCTAAGGTACTTTTAATCATTCTGATTCTCACTAACTTGTTTTGCTATTGTAAAAGTCTAAATTTGCTGGTGTTTTTATCCTGGGGATCATATAACATTGGTTCTATCTGGCACAACCATATTTAATGGTGCTTGGGTCCACATTACCTGCAGAAACCATGTCTGGTTGAGACAGTTAGCAAAAATTGGCACAAATATTAGTGAGCCTATGCTTCTGTGAAGTAATTTTTAAATCAACTTAATGATTCTCCTATAAGAGACATTTTTAAATTTTACTAATAACATTGATAGTCTCTGTGGCTTGTAGCAACCTTTTGCAAATGTTTAAAATGCTAAATCCTATTTTCCTAGGATTCTTGGAATCTATTAGAGACCTAGGGTGTAGTAACTGAAATGCTGGGACTACCCAGTTAAAAATGGCACTTTATAAAAGGGAAGAGAAGAGATGGGCCTATTTCTATATTTCAATGCTGCTAGCTGTTGAATTGCTTTGTATGTAAATGAAATTTATATACAAATTTAAGACTTAAGTACAGTTCTTAATTATATTTCATTCATTTATGTTAGGGTGACTAGCTTTATAATTGCATTAAAGTTTAACTCATAGGCATATTAAATCTGTAACAAAGTTCAAAACAACTTTTTGGAGGACTAATTTGAACAAATCCATCTCCCTTAGGTTTTTTTGACCCTGAGATGGCTGAAACTTAAGTAGCTACAGCCTGCAGGAGAAAGGAATGAGTTGACACCTGCATGGCCGATGAACCTGTGTATGAACTGCACAGAGCTGCAGCATTTGGAGCTCTTAGACTTTTAGTTTTCCAGGTCATAGGAGTTTGTAAACAATTCATCACATCTCTCTAGATGCTAACTGAATTTCTTTAGAGATGGATGAAAAAATTCACCTGAAGTTTATAGGAACGTTCACCTGTTTGTGTACCTTTCCTTTTGTTTTAGGATTATGGAAATGGACTGTTTATTTACATTTGAGCAGGACTTTTCCTCCACACATGTGAGTGAAAAACTAGTTTTGTGTGAATTGAAAATAGTTTCCTTGAAAGTGAAAAGCAGTTATTTTTTCTGAATCTATATGTGTTACCTATTTCTAGTGCAGAATAAGCTATGACTTCCCACTGAGGAGCCCTAAATTTTATAGACATGGAAGCTAAAGTAGCTGTAAAGAGTAGACACTTCAGAACCTTCTAGAGGCTCTGTTGAGGTCAGTGTTAATCTCTTAAATATGTGTGTTACTAACTAATTGTACCAAATCTGTGATGCTAAGCCTTTAAAGACTGAATCAGCACATCACGTAACTTGCTTTTCACACTAAAGCCTTCAACTTTTCTCATAAAATAATGCTTTAAATTTTCAAAAATCATTCCTGAAAGAAACTACTTCTAGCATTCTTTCTCATTATGTCATTGTGTGCAGTAAGTGTAGCATTTTAAGCCACATAACTCTGCATTCCTCTTGTTTTTCAGTTTCCAATTGAGATGATAGAAAACAAGACTTGTGTAATTTGATATTTGTGGAGTTGTGCCTATCATTAATGGAAATACATATGCCAAGTACTTAGACGTTTATTGATAATGAAACTATGTGGCTAAAAAAAAACCCATGTATAAATAAATAATCCTAATAATAAAAACAAACCCGGATACATCCATGTGTTTGTTACAGGTACACTTGAAACTAGTGACTGTTTGTCACCCTTCACTTTTATGGTACGTGAATGCAGCTCACTTGTATAACTTGAAAATCTGGTACTGTTTTATTCATGCCTTCAGGTCTGAGATGCCTTGTCTCTTGTTTGTTAAATAAGTGAAAACTTGGGAGTTTGTAAAATCTGTTAAGTTCGTTTGTCAAAATAAAAGATTGACACTAGAATTTTTCTCTGAGTTGTCTAAATTTCTGTAGTCCTTTAGATTTTTTTTAAACATATACAGTGTTTTACAATTCACAAAGTGCTTTGGAAGTTTTGATTTTTTTAATCCCTTTTCTATCCCTTAAAGTTAGGAGCTTATATATCCCTGACTTGCAGATAATAATATGACAGTGGTGTTCGGAGTCCTGCAGTAAATGGCAGTTAGTAAGATCTTAAAGGTCAATGCTTTTATACAACATTATCTTTTCTACACTTCAAATTGCTGGAGTTTTGCCTAAACTGATGTGGTTTGGCACCAGTGATGGAGGAAGCAACTTGGAGAGAATGTCTGTTCCTCTACCTTTAAGAAAAAACAATCGTGCACACACCATCTCCCATTGTCCCTACCCAGACCCAAGACAGGGATGGGAAGGCCTTTTTCCCTTTTCCTCAACATCCATCAAATATTGGATATTAACTCATTTCCTCACCAAGCCTTTTCGCAAATTTCATCTCTGTCAAATGGCAGAGGGGTGTGGGAATCCTTCTCTAACTATCCACTTTATTTTCTTTTAGAGATGTCCCACTGTAATTGCTCCCAGAATTTTTGTTACCCACCTTAAAAATTTTTTTTAGTGTAACTAAAGAACTAGATATGTAGTTTGTGTTTCTAGAATGACTTATTTACTTAGAAGTACATGACTTAAAAGGATTCAATGGGGGTCTGTGTTGTGGCATAACAGGTAAAGCCACCACCTGCAAGGCCAGCATCCCATATGGGTACCAGTTTGTTCCTGGCTGCTTCACTTCCGATCCAGCTCTCTGCTAATGACCTGGGAAAAGCAGCAGATGACCCAAGTGTTTGGGTCCCTACTACCCGCATGGGAGACCTGGACAAAGCTCCTGGCTCTTCTCTCGGGCCACAGCAGAGAGCTGGACTGGAAGAGGAGCAACCGGGACAGAATCTGGCGCCCCAAGGAGGACTAGAACCCGGGGTGCCAGCGCAGCAGGCGGAGGATTAGCCTAGTGAGCCATGGAGCCGGCCACAGCTAGGGTTCTTTACAGCACTATCTGCTTTCTTCCCGTGAAAACCATCAAAACCATCTTCCCTTTATAAGTCAGTTTTATCTCAGGGGACTTCCCCTTTCTATTCATAGTCAGCCTTATCTTTTTGCATTAATATATTGGTGAGGAATAGGTGACAAGTGCCCCACCCATGCACAGTGACTGGCATGGTATACAATAAGCAGATCTTTTCATGGAAAACATTTACTACTTCATAGCATTGCATACTATGATACTTCAGCAACATGCATTCATGCTAGGAAAATACAAGTATTTTTCAACAACATGGCTCTAAAGTATCAGTCTACCACTTTCATCTGCCATTCAGCCAAAAGAACGGTGAAATGAGGTAAAATGAGCTTTATTAGGATTTTCCTTTGTAAGCGATTTAAGAGATTTTCAAAAATAAATTTGATTATAAGAAAGTTTTACCTTACAAGCTGACTCAAGTATATAAATCCTAGAAGAAAGTAACTGGTTTTACATAGTACTTTAAAAAAATCAGGGGGCTGGCGCTGTGGCACAGTGGGTTAAAGCCCCAACCTGCAACACCAGCATCCCACATGGTCACCGGTTCAGTCCCAGCAGCTCCACTTCCAATCCAGCTCTCTGCTGTGGCCTGGGAAAGCAGTAGAAGATGGCCCAAGTGCTTGGGCCCCTGCACTCACGTGGGAGACCTGGAAGAAGCTCCTGGCTCCTGGCTTCGGATCGGCAGCCAATTGGGGAGTAAACCAGCGGATGGAAGATCTTTTTCTCTCTGCCTCTCCTCTCTCTGTGTAACTCTGACTTTCAAATAAATAATTAACTTCTTAAAATTTTTTTAAAAATGTAAAAGAAAAAATTAGTTGGGGGAAACGGGAGGAGTGGCTGGCACCAAGGCATAGTCAGTTAAGTCACAGCCTGAAAAGTTGCCATCCCACATGGGCACTGGTTTGAGTCCTGGTTGCTCCACTTCCTATCCAGCTCAATGCTAAGATGCCTGGGAAAGCAGCAGAAGATGGCTTAACTGCTTGGGCCTCTGTACCTGTTACCGGAGAAATTGCAGGGTTCTTGTCTTCATGCAAGAAAGAATTCAGGCGTGAGACAGAGAGTAGTGGGAGGTAAAATAGCAAGGTTTATTAGGGAAGGGACATCCGTAAGGATGGATGGGCACCTCTCCAGACAGGGCCTGAGAGACTTGGGGGAGGGGGGTGGAGGTTACATGGTTGAGTGGAGAGATTATACCTGGCCAGACCAGGCGGGCGGCTCAGCAAGAGGCAGAGGGCTGAGCACGCTGCCAGGTTGAGGCCAGGGGTTTTTTAGGAGATGGATCTTGCTTCCCCACCTCTGCTCCTCTTGGAACAAAGGGCTTTTTGGATGTAACTAGAAAAACTTCTATCTGAGTTTTCCCTTGAAGGTATCAGACAGGAGGAAGCCTAGCTGGGCCATCCTGAGTTTAGGGGAAGGGTGAGCAAGACCCCTGGAGAATGTCCCTGGAGCAGGGTGTTTGAAATGCAGATACTGACCTGCATCTGGGAGATTGTGGAAGATTTGTCAGGCAGAAGGGGCAGGGACCTCCACCTGGCAGGTTATCAGGTAGAAGGGGGTAGGGCAGGATGTGAATACCGGGCTGCCCCTGAAACATTGTCAGCAGAAGCATATGCTGGACATAGATGTCTTCTCTTTAGGCCTTTATGTCATGCACACATAAGCTCGTAACTGACTTCCTACCTAACATACCCATGTGGGAGACCTGAAGAAGCTGGCTTCAGCCTGACCCAGCCCTGGCCATTGTGGCCATCTGGGGAGTGAACCAGCAGATGGAAGATCTCTGTCTCTTCCTCTCTCTGTCTATGTCTCTGCCTTTCAAATAAATAAAATAAATAGGAAGGAAGGAAGCTCTCCTAGAGCAAAGTTTTAAAAAAAAAAAGTTAGCAGAGGGGCTGGTGTTGTGGCCCATGGATTAAGCTGCCCCCTGTGACACTGGCATCCCATATGAGCCCTGGTTGGAGTCCCAGCTGCTCCACTTCCAATTCTGCTCTTACTAATGCGCCTGGGAAAGCAGCAGAAGATTGCCCAAGTCCTTGGGCCCCTGCACCCACATGGGAGATCCGGATGAAGCTCCTGGCTCCTGGCTTCAGCTGGCCTAATCGAAGCCGTTGCAGCTATTTGGGGAGTGAAGCAGCAGAATAAAGATCTCTCTCTGTCTCTCCCTCTCTCTTTGTAATTCTGCCTTTCAGATAAAATAAACAAATATTTAAAAAAAAGTAGTGGAAAAATTAAAATAAGTTTATTTTGGTGCAGAAAATGTTTGAAATCCATGCATTTTTTTCATAATACACATTTTCTATGAATTTTTTGAATCTATACAAATAATTACTTACTCCATGAAACCCCGAACATCAAATGACTATGAAGTTTAGTTTAGCAAAGAAAACTTTGTAATGACCATTTGAACCTGACACAGACTGCCCCATGAGACAGAGCAGTTTTTGGAAATCAAGGGTCAGAAATTCCATGAACGCTTGAGAAGTTGGACTAGACCATTTCAAAGCACACTTATAACAATTCTATCTCAAGAAACTGCCCTTAGGCCATAGCGATTCTGACTGAAGATTTAAAATCAAGCCTGTAGCTTAAAATCAAGGAAACCACTGGGCTGAAGTAGAATCTTTTTTTTTTCTTCTAAAGAATTGTTTATTTATCGACCCTGGGGCATAATAGATACACAGCCAATTTTAAATTTACATCTTTTAATTCAACTTTGAAATGTAATCTTAAGTGTTGATTTTTTTTAATCAACTTCATGCTTGTTCTGGCCAACTGCATTCAAGAGGCCACTGTTTGATTGTGACCAGCAGTTCAACACCATAGCTATGTGCTGAGTCTGCACTGAAGAGATTACAACCCCAGCGAAGGATTTTCTTTGGATTAAAAAAAAAAAAAAAAAGAAAACCAACAATGGCTAATGCTTCCAGGAAGCTTACTGTGTGTGACAGCCAGTTTTAAGCACTTTATAAAAAGCTGTCTAATTCTCACAGGACCCCTCCCTACCTGATTCTAATAGTTCTGTTCTGTTGTTGGGAATTCAGATGCAGAGACCCAGAAGTTGCTGCTTGTCCAGGTTCACATAACTAGTTCTTTTACTTATTTACTTTTTTAAAAAAAGATTTATTAATTTATTTATATGAAAGAGTTACAGAGAGAGGTAGAGACAGAGAGAGAGGTCTTCCATCCGCTGGTTCACTCCCCAGTAGGCCGCAATGGCCAGAGCTGCGCCAATCCAAAGCCAGGAGCCAAGAGATTCTTCTGGGTCTCCCACGTGGGTGCAGGGGCCCAAACACTTGGGCCATCTTCCACTGCTTTCCCAGGCCACAGCAGAGAGCTGGATCGGAAGTGACGCAGCCGGGTCTTGAACTGGCGTCCATATGGGATGCCAGCACTTCAGGCCAGGGCGTTAACCCTCTGTGCCACAGCACTGGCCCCACTTATTGTTAATACTTATCTTTTAACTTTGTTATCCTTGAATTTTTAATTTTAAATTTTTAAAGAAAGAGCTCTCATCCTCTGGTTTACTCCCCAAATATCTTCAATGGCAGGGCCTGGGGGGCCAGTGCTAAAACCAGGTGCTGGAACTCAATCCAGGCCTCTCCCCTGGTGGCAGGAGCCCACTTACTCAAGTTCTCACTGCTGCCTCCTAGCACCTGCATTGGCAGGACGGAAGCTGGAGTCAGGAGCCAGAGCCAGGATTTTAACCCAGTCTCTCCAATATGGGATGTGGGCCTCTTAGACCCATCCGATAAAACACTCCCTAACAGGGCTGGCTTGGAGCTCAAGCACCTTGGCTCACAGGCTGTGGAAAGCACTGGACTCTGCCACTTCTCTGAGAACAGGAGACAGGCAACCGACCAACGCTTACAAGGCTATCGCCTCATGATCTGCAAATAACGTAGGAGAAACTACCACGGTGTAGGAGACC